GTTTTTCGAGACAGCTTTGTGTAGCTTTGCGCCTTTCCTGGGATTCACTTGGTAGTCCAGGCTGGCCTCGAACTCACAGAGATCCGCCTGGCTCTGCCTCCCGAGTGCTGGGATTAAAGGCGTGCGCCACCACTGCCCGGCATCTGTTTTATTTTTCAAATGATTTATGTATGTGGAGATTTGGTCTGCATGTTTGTTTTTGCAGCTTGTATATGTCCAGTACCCATAAAGCCCAGCAGAGGGACTAAAGTTACAGATGGTTGTGAGCTGCAGAGATGCATGGAATCAGGGTCCTCTCAAAAGAGGACTGGTGTTCCTACCCGAGCCATCTGTCAGGCTTGTTTGGTTGTCTTTTGAGACAAGATCTTGCTGGGTCTTGTCTGGCCTTGAACTTCCAATGATCTTGCCTTGTCTCATGAGAGCTTGAATTACAGGCCTGTATCATCACTGTCCTTGGCTCATTTGTTTGCCTTTATTTCTAAGGTGTGATTTTCTTTTTTTCCCTCACATCCTTCTTAGACACTTTACATAGTTTCTTAATTTCCTATTAGTTTCTACTCCATAAACCATTTTTGCTTATCTTTTTAAAGTTTAGTATTTGTGTTGTAGGTTAAAGCATAGATCATCTGTGGTCAGCAATTTTAGTTCTTCATTACCTCCTGTTTGGGCTCCTCAGAATTGTTATTGCGGTAGCTCTTTTAGAAATATGCCCATAGTAACTAAAGTTAACAGCTAGCTAGTAACATTCAAAGTAGAATCACAACAGGTTGGTAGCTCATATTACTTGTTTAAGTGGGCAGATCTCTTTTTAAGTTTGAGGCCAGCCTGGTTTACAGACCAAGGTCTAGGACGGCCATGGCTTCGCAAAGAAACTCTGTCAACAACAACAAAAACAGACTTCATTCAAGCACTCTGGAGGCAGAGGCAGGCAGATTTCTGTGACCAGCCTCGTCTATATAGTGAGCCCCAGGACAGCCAAAGCCACACAGAGAAATCCTACCTTAGAAAAAACAAAACAAAGACTTCTCACATTCTTTGATTTCAGTCATGTGCTACCAGGCCTGATTTTTAGAAACTGGATTTATTTTGAAGTTCAACAATAAGTTAGAGTTAAATTTCAATGGGTATGGAAAATAGACTTATCTGTGAATCCAATTAATATTGTATGATTCTAGGGAGCCTCCACATTGAAATTACTCAACATAATGTGTGGATTTTCAGATAGTGGTTGTTTCCTAGAACAGGTTTGAGGGAGATTTATATACTAACAGTGGAGTGGCTGGAAAGTTTGTTGTTTAACGACACATGGAAAGTGGGAAAAGCACCGTTTGGGGGTTTACAGCATTACTAATTTCTATGTAATAAACTTATATAGGGAGGGGGGTTACATTTGTTAAGAAATCAAGTATTTCCTATGATAAATGATCTCATCATTGGGGCACTTCCTTTTTTACTGTCTATGCCTTTGGTTTGTGGGGATCATACCCTTAACTTCATAACCTAATTTAAAAGATGAATTTGTAAAGTTACTTGCAGTTAGTAGCCAACTTTTTTTAAGCTTGTAGGAAAAAAAAAAGAAAGACTGAGATGCTGACAGTTATATGACACTTCTCTTGAGTCTCACACATTGTATTTGTGTGCACTTACATGGAGGTTAAAGATCAATAGCCTGTGGTATTCCTTAGGCACCATCCACCTTGATTTTTGAAACAGGGTCTCACTGGCCTGGAGCCTACCAAATGATATGCTGGGGGGCCAGTAAGCCCCAGTGCTGGAGGTATAAGAGTGTGCCAGCACAGGTGGCTTTCAAAAGTGGGGCTCAGATGCTTATTATGGCAGTGCTTTGTGACTGAGCTGTTCCCCTAGCCCCTTAAGTATGTTTTCATAAACTGAAGTGGGAAAACAGAAAGTCCCTTTTGATATAAATCTGAGTATTTTATTTGAAGGCATGCAAGTTTCAGCAGTGGGAGGTGTTTTTCCCATCTATTACAATAAAAAAAAAATCTTATAAATTTGCCTTTCTCTTTAAAGGTCTTGTTGCAGTAGGAGAAAGAGCACAAAAGAGGTCTGGGAACTTCTCTGCTGCAATGAAAGACTTGTCAGGTGAGAACAAAGCCTGTTGAATTCTTCTTGCCTCACCCACATCTTGAAGCCCTAAGTTGTTGCAAAGTTGGTGGAAATCTTATAACTTGTTGTTTTTCTCTCTACAGGCAAACATCCTGTGTCTGCCTTGATGGAAATCTGTAATAAAAGAAGGTGGCAACCACCTGAATTTCTCTTGGTCCATGATAGTGGCCCTGATCATCGCAAACATTTTCTCTTTAGGGTAAATATGAACTTACATACTAATTAGAGGGCTAAGGGATAAGTGTGATACAACTACAGTGGGCTGTATCTGGGGGTGGGTTACAGATGTGCATATGTGTGGGTAAAATGGGTTTTTAAACTTAGAAGGGTACTTTAATGTATAAATAAATGATCTTTTAGAAAATTAAAGGGGAGGGTATGGATGGACAAATTCTGGCTAACATTTGGTATTTTCTAGGGGAAGGTGGGGGTAACTAATATTTTTATTAGTGCTTTTTATTTTTAAATGTGGAGACCTGCACTTACTTTGCAGTTTCCTTTAAATCATTTACTGTTTCTGGGCTGAGATTAATTTTTATATAATTTGGGGTTTATAATTTATAAATTTTAGAATTTAGTGAAAAAGTACAAAGCTAATAGATATTAAAGTTTGATGCTGTTCTTATTGTATGTTTTTCTTGAATAGGTATTGAGAAATGGAAGCCCTTACCAGCCCAATTGTATGTTTTTCTTGAATAGGTATTGATAAATGGAAGCGCTTACCAGCCCAGCTTTGCCAGCCCTAATAAGAAGCATGCTAAAGCCACAGCAGCTACTGTGGTTCTTCAAGCAATGGGCCTTGTACCAAAGGACCTCATGGCTAATGCCACTTGCTTCAGGAGTGCCTCACGTAGATAGATTGAGGTTTTATATTAATCATTTCAGATAATTTTACTCTGCATCACAATGTATCTCCTCCTTAATGTTGTAAATATTTCACAATTTAAGACATTGTGTATAAAAAGCAATCTGTACAAACATCTCCAGGCTTTGGTTTTTGTACCATGGAAATTGTATTTAACCATACAGGGTTTTGGTATGTTTATATTGTTTACCTTAGTGATGTATTTGTTTAAGTGGCTAACATCAAAACAACTGTTTGAAGGCATCAGTAATATTCAGTGTGGAATGTTAAATAACGCTTTTATACTGTATTTTGTACTATGATGTAACTCCCCTTCCTATGGCTAGGCTGCTGTAACACTTGCCTGTAATCAGTGAAGGGCTGTGCACCTTGTACTATTTCACAATGGGTTCTGCTGGACAGATACTGGGCCAGTGTTATTAAGGTAATGAAGCAAGATCTGTTCCACAGGGCTAATGCCACCATCTCCCCTTAAATTTTTGTAGAGGTTATGAAAAGAAAGTGATATGTTGTGTCTTGATCAGCACTAAATACTGCATTCCCATTAAAGCCACTTGGGTCATAAGAAGGGAGTCAAAATGGAAGTCCAACTAGAATTTTACTTCAGAGGCCAAGTACATATTTAGTATGGCTTGAGTTGTGATATAGTTTTACTTTGATGTGCATTTTGAATTTCAGCTACACCTAGATAGACGTAAATAATAAAAATGCTGTAACCAACTTATCTAATAAAAATTGGCAACTAGCCACTATTTTGTTGACTATGAGAAAGTTTAAGTTTATGTTAATTTTTTAGGGTCTGATAGAATATTCATGTGTATTACAGTGGTATTCATATGCTATGTCTCTAAACTTTATTTTCAAAAGCTTAAGGCCCAAATACAACCTTCTCTGGAATAAATGTGGTGTCTTATTCTCTGGCTTTATGGAACACACATAACTAAGTACTACTATTTGTTACCCAATACTTGTGACTTCTATGCACGTTTATTTAAAAATGCTGAATTTTATACACACATGCAAACACACAGACTACCTGAAGCATACTGAGTAACTGACCAACACTTAGGTACAAACCACCCTACAAACAAACGGTCTGACAGAAGAACATGAGTGAGTGTCCTGAGAAGAGGCACTAGAAGTGGAGACCATGGCGGGCGGCACCAGCAGTCAGCTGTGCAGTAAGTAGTGTCTGCACAGAACCTGCTGTTGCTGGTCTAAGGTACACCAGATCCTTTCCTGTCATCACTCTCAATGAAGTCATGCTTGTACAGGGAATTCAATTTCTCATTTGTAATGAAACACTTTTAATTCAGGGTTCTACTCAGGTTACAATTAAGTTGAAGGGATATAGAATTCTCATTCAAGTTATCTGAGGTTTAAGGACACAACTTACATCTTCAGATCTGAAAAATGTATGAAAATAATAAAAGCAAAATGTTGATTTTTAAACCTAATGCTAATGCATGTAAAAAAAGTTAATGTAAAAAGTTCATGTTTAGCCGGGCGTCGGTGGCGCACGCCTTTAATCCCAGCACTCGGGAGGCAGAGCCAGGCGGATCTCTGTGAGTTCGAGGCCAGCCTGGGCTACCAAGTGAGCTCCAGGAAAGGCGCAAAGCTACACAGAGAAACCCTGTCTCGAAAAAACCAAAAAAAAAAAAAAAAAAAAAAAAAAAAAAAAAAAAAAAAAAAAAAAAAAAAAAGTTCATGTTTAGAAACATTTCAGTATTTTAAAATATATTCTTCCAAAATGAACTTTTAAGAGGCAGAGGCCTAAGAATTGTCAATTTCCTTCCTTGCTAGGAAGCTTTTCCTCAGTTTCCCTTTAGGCTTACTTTGGTGTTCAGGATCTCCAATTATAGATGTAGTCACTCATTTCCACATTCCGTAAGGATGACTTCCCCAGCAATGGTATTTGACTTAGCTGTTCCAGGGTTTTGGGGTGCAGCCCACAATTAGCAAGGTCCTTATGATCAACTTTCTGCAGAAATACAAATCCACATCCATAAACACATTAGTTCTTGAACACTGACTTTTTAATAATCACCATGAGGACCGGCAAATACAGGCCGGGCGGTGGTGGCGCACGCCTTTAATCCCAGCACTCGGGATGCAGAGCCAGGCGGATCTCTGTGAGTTCGATGCCAGCTTGGTCTACAGAGCAAGATCCAGGACAGGCTCCAAAACACCACAGAGAAACCCTGTCTCAAAAAACAAAAAAAGATGGGCAAATACATGGCTCATTCACTTAATAAAATCATGGCTACAAAGTTGATCCTAACAATTTCTATAGTTTGAAAAAACTAATAGAATCTTATTTTTACAAGCCTATTGAATGTGACAGGTACCAGGTCAATTAAGAACTGTTAAACTGGGCTAGAGAGATGGCTCAGAGGTTAAGGGCACTGGCTATTCTTCCAGAGGAACTGAGTTCAATTCCCAGCAACCATATGGTGGCTCACAACCATCTATAGTGAGATCTGGTGCCCTCTTCTGGCCCACATGGACAAATGCGGCAGAACACAGTATACATAATACATAAATTAAAGCAAAACAAAACTCAAAAACTTAAATTTTCTTCACAAAGTCTAAAGATGGCTAGACTTCCAAGGAAGTGAGTTACGTGGGCCTGGGAGATAGCTCAGTATTTGAGCACTTGCTATGTGTGACGACCAGAGATGCGGTGTCTAGAACCTGCACAAACGCTGGGCAGACGTGGAACACCTGCAGGTCCAGCCTCTGCAGATGCTGCTAAGACCTGCCACGTTAGTGTGCTCTGGCTTATTAAAAGACCCTGCCTTGAATAAGGTGGAAGAGGGGTGCAGTACAAGTCGTGAACCCCAGGCTTCGCTGTGTGAGCCCATGTAAAACTGCAAACAGCATGCACACAGAAGAACAAAAAACCTGTAGTAAATCGTGTTTCCATAAACTACAGAGGAATCAGGCATTACTAAACTCAGTTGTGAGGACAGTTAGTACTTTCTAGGTTTTTGAAGTTTTTACTATTGCTTGAATTCCTTAATTCATGACTTGCTTTCTAACTTGATACAAATTTGGTCTATCATGAGTGACCTTTTTCGCAGCAAGAGAATACAAGCTACAACTGAGTCTACTTACTCTATGCAGGTCTTCATCCAGTGGCAGGCGGACATTGAATACAGCAGTAGGCTCATGTGCATACATCCCAGCAGAGAATGACCCTCTCTGTGAAGATCGGAGTAGCATGGTCACAGAATGCAGAGCATGAGGCATGATGGGACCCGTGATCTCTAAACTAAACTGATCTCTGTATCCAGAAAGAGCGTGTGTCTTGACATTAATGCTTCGTGCCTTCAGAAAATTTAAAGAAAAAGACAATTAGGATCATACCTCACTTTGTCCCTTAGCTGAAGATGTGTTCAGTATATTTTTATTTGGGATTTCTTCTGATAAGAAACAGGAACTACTTTGTTTCCTGAGACTACAACATAATACTTAACAGGTTGCTTCAATTTCCCCATTTTTGAGACCTGTCACTATTTTTGGGTATGTGATTGCATTGGCACATACATGAGATGGGATTAAAGAACGTTTTCTTAAATGACAAGGGAGGATGTGAACACCCAAGTGTTTTGTTACCAGTTATAATTTATCCAGTATGGGGGGGAAAAAAAATCACAAAAGTCACTGAACACAGCGGCTCACGCCTGTAATTCTGGCCCTTGGGAGGGGGTGCCAGGAGGGCCAAGAATTCAGGGTCATCTTCCACCAGTGAGATTGAGGCTTATGGGACCCTGTCTTAGAGGCAAACAAGTAAAAGGGAGCTGACATAGTTCCTGTGTTTTCATGTACATATGTAAAATACATACATATTCTGAGACAGGGTTTCATGTAAAACTACTGGGAATGTAGCTCAGCATACAATGTTTGCCAATATGCCCCAAACTCCTGGTTCAATCTAAGTGCTGAAAAACGAAGTCCATAGTATGGTAGAACAATTAGACATTTTCAAAGATTCACGTGTATAACTTTTTTTTTTTGGAGACAGGGTCTCACTATGTAGCCTTGGCTATCTCCAAACTCATTGAGATCTGCTTGCCTCTGCCTCCCAAGTACTGGGATTAAAGGTGTGGCCATCACGTTGTGCCTGATACCTGTAGGGGTAAGAAGGCCATCAGACCTCTTGGAACTGGACTTACTAATGGCTGAGAGCCACCATGTTGGTGCTGGGAACCGAACTTGGGTCCTCTGCAAGAGCAGCAAGTGCTCTTGAACACTGAGCCATCTCTCCAGGCCCTACCTAGAATTATTTTTTAAAAATTGAAAATTTGAGCTAGGCATGGTGGCACATGCCTTTACTCCCAACACTCAGGAGGCAGAGGCAAGTGGATCTCCGTGGGCTTGAGACCAGAGTGGTCTATGTAGCCAGTTCCAGGACAGCCAGAGCGACGACACCAAGAGCCTGGTCTTTCTAAACGCAAACCAAGAACAGAAGTCCAGCGTGCCCCTTTAAACACTGGAACTCTACACTAAGAACTGGGCGGCAGGAGAAGGAGGTGCTTGCTCACCTTCAGCATTTGCATTGAGGCACCTCGAAAGGCTACCGGGGATAAAAGGGTCGGAGGGAGGCCTGCCTGGGCACCCGAGGTGGCAACTAAGCTCTTGCAGTTGATCAAAAAGTTGAGCAATGTGAAAGCGTTGGGCCCTTTCACCAGCACAGCAGACTCGGGCCTGTGATCCACTTGTACTTCATGTTTTTCCCTCAGTCTGAAAAACGACAATCAAGGAAAGAGCAAAAAACCAAAAACATCAAAAAATAAAAACCCTACACTAGTGCAGATAGTTGCCTGGATTCCAGATGCCCGGGGGCTCCTTGTCCCATTTCACAAGTCTGAATGAAATGCTGGCCATCTGAATGTGGCAGAGAGAACCAACAACAACTTTGTACATGACCAACATGGACTGTCTTTACTTCAGTGCTAAACCAGTAACTCCACTGAGGTTCTTAGCAACAGAAAGGATACAGCTTGATAGAGATCGTGTCTGGCTTTTTAATTTGATCTTGCACACCTATCTCTTCCAGCCAAGACAAGCTCTCCTCTTCATCTTCATCGCTGGCCGCTTGCTCCCTAGGAAACTGCTGGTTAGAGGCACACATTCCCAGAGTGGGTGCTTTTAGGAACTCAGAAATGAGTGAAAATGTAAAAGGTTATGTAATTCCATACTCATCGTACTCCAGGTTTGCTTCTCCTACTTTCTTCTTACAGCCACTTGCTTCTAGCAAAGGCAGAGAAAATTCAATACCTGCATCAGAAAAGAAAACAACTCGGCTTTCTTCAATTAACCAGTGTCCCACCTACTGGTATCCAGATGAGGTTTTCTATTAAAGGGACTTGTCTCTACCCTTCCCTCCCTCTGCTGACCCACTAGCTGACAGGCTAATCCAGCTTCACAATTATTAAAGGGGGAGGTTAGATAATGTGAACTCTCAGAGAACTACAACTGGTGAGATGGTTCAGTCGGAGGACTCTGTCTAGTCTTAGGACACCTAAGTTCACGTCCTGGAACTCCCATGGTGGCAGAAATGACTGCTACTCTAACCTCCACATGTGTGACATGGTGTGTGTGTGCCCACAGAAACACACACATGCACACAAAATAAGACATAAATGTAAAAATGTTTTAAAAAGCAAAATATATTCAATAAGACAGTGACTTTACTTCAGAGGTAAGAAAAAGAACACAGCTGGGCAGTGGTGGCGCACGCCTGTAATCCCAGCACTTGGGAGGCAGAGGCAGGTGGGTCTGTGAGTTTGAGGCCAGCCTGGGCTACAGAGCTAGTCCAGGACAGGATTCAAAGCTACAGAGAAACCTTGTCTCGAAAAACCAATAAAAAGAGAAAAGGAACACAATCAACTTCCAGCTACATTTGAGAGACCCTTTGACCAACAGGAAGAAAAAAAAAAAAAAAACCAACTCTGAAAAAATGTACTACATCTCTTAAAATAATATTGATAACCAATTAGTAAGAGACAATTCAAAGTATTTTTAAAATACCTTATTTTGTTGGGCAGTGGTGGCGCAAGCCTTTAATCCCAGCACTCAGGAGGCAGAGTCAGGTGGATCTCTGTGAGTTTGAGGCCCGCCTGGTCTACAGAGCGAGTTTCAGGACAGGCACCAACACTGCACAGAGAAAGAAACCCTGACTCGAAAAACCAAATACATTTATCTATCTTATGTGTATAGGTGCTTATGTCTGCGTACCACTGTGTGCCTGGTGCTCAGAGGCCAGCATAGGCACTGGATCCCCTGGACCTGGAGTTACAGATAGGCTTTAGCCACCATGTGGGTGCTGGGAATCGATCCCAGGTATTCTTTTTTTTTTCTTCAGAGATGAGGACCGAACCCAGGGCCCCAACCCCGATCCCAGGTATTCTGTAAGAGCAGCCATCTCTCCAGTCCCAAAAGTTCAGCATTTGAGGCAAGAGGGATTCTCTTTAACCCTCAACCATTACCTTCATTTTTCATAGCTTCTCTTAAACCTCTAGTTGTAGGAGATATGAGCGCTGTGACCACGTCACTTCCTGCTAATCCGGCTGCCCGGAACAGGACGGTAAACTGATAGGTACAAACGTAGAAAAAGGGGCAAAGCTTGGTCTTCAACAGGTTATACAAGGAAGTAAAACTTACAGACCTGTGAAGCAAAAGAAAATTTTCAGGTGTTAAAATACTTTTTTTTAACAGATTTAATTCACTTTATTTTTCTTGTATAAAAACCCTTAAGTGGTGGCCACAGCTGGAGCCTGGGTTCTCTGGTGTGGGTTTTCACAAGATGGTCAGTGAATTCCTGATAAGGAGATTTGGTGAACACCTTTCCAGAGGTCGAGGGTCAGGTAGCTGTAGGTCTTGGAGGTGGCATCAAAGGTGGCCTTGGCAAAGTTGCCCAGGGTGACAGTGCAGCCCTGGCTGACGTGTAGCAGTCATCAATACCGGCCGTCATCAGTAACTTCTTAGGCGCAGGAGCAGAGACAATGCCAGTGCCTCTGGGGGCAGGGATGAGAAGCACCAACACAGAGCCACAGCGGCCTGTCACTTTGCACAGGACAGTGTGGGGCTTGCCAATCTTGTTCCCCCAGTAGCCTCTCCGCACAGGGACAATGGACAGCTTGGCCAGGATGATGGCCCCTCGGATGGCAGTGGCTACTTCCTTGGAGCACTTCACACCAAGACCAACATGACCACTGTAGTCCCCAATAGCGACAAAAGCCTTGAACCTGGACTGCTGGCCAGCCCGAGTCTGCTTCTGCACTGGCATGATCTTCAGAACCTCATCCTTCAGGGATGCACCCAGGAAAAAGTCAATGATCTCGGATTCCTTAGTGGGAAGGGAGAACAGGTAGATCTCCTCCAGGGACTTGATCTTTATGTCCTTAACCAGGCGGCCCAGCGTGGTGACGGGGATCCACGCCCTGTCTTCAGCTTTACTTCCATGAGCCCCGTGGTCCCTCTAAGACCGCTGCTGAATCCTCCGCAGAAGCCGCGGCCTCCTAGTCCTGGGCCCCCGGGGCCCTCCCGCTGCACCGGCGTCGCCCACCATTTGGTATTTTCCCGTAGAAGAAGTCAGGTGTTAACATACTTTAAACTTAATTCTGCATAATTTAGCCTGACAAGTAGATAAAAGCCCAACCTAACCTTTCGAATACTGAACCGGTTTCTGCAGCTGAGGCTTCCTTTAGAGGACCGCAACTGTACAGAGTGCTGCTGCTGACTCTAGCGCGGTGTGGATGGAACCACACGCTCTCTCAAGCAAAACTGCTAACTAGCTGCAAACTCTGAGTAACTTCTGGTGAGAAAAGCCATCAACTGACGGGAAGCAACACTGAGGACTTAGGCTTATCTATTTATCCATTACGGACACTAGACATTTGATAGTGATGAAGCTGGAAAAATGTGAATGGATTCAATCCATTAATAACAGTGTCTGACAAAGTCCAGAAACACACAGAGCCATCTACCATTAGTCCTTTCCATATCACCCAAATCCTAGAGAATCCTCTGGAACGCACATACACCTCCACTCATCTTACCAGTCACTCATTAACGTATGCTGCAGGGTCTCATCGTGTGACCATGGGCTTGACTTTCCCGCCATTTTCCTATCAGCTCCAATTCGAGGGAACAGCGGCAGCCATGAAAAGGCAGGGTGGAGCCAGTAGACAAGAGTCTGCTGGAAGGCACAACGCAACTCAGTGCAGAGTCTGGGATCCTAAATTCCAGCGGGGAGAGTGGGTATTGTTACTCATCAGAAAGATAAAAGTTCATAGGAGACACTGATATCACTGACATATCATATAATCTAGTATTTTAGAAGATGAGCTGGGAGTAGCGGCAGAACACCTTTAATCTCAGTGCTTGGGAGGAAGGCAGATCTCTGTGAAGCCAGCCTGGTCTATATAGTGAGCCCCAGGAAAGTCAGGGCTATGTAGAGAGACCTTGTCTCAAACACTCCCTCCCCGAAAAAAAAAAATTTATTTTTGTTTTTCTAGACAGGGTTTCTCTGTGTAACAGCTCTGGCTGTCCTGGATCTTACTCTGTAGACCAGGCTGGCCTCAAACTCACAGAGATCCACCTGGGTCCCGAGTGATGGAATTAAATGCTTGTGCCACCACTGCCCGATAAAGATTTTTATTTTTAATTGTATGTGTGCCTGCATTTTGAAGATAGGTTCTCTGAAGAGCAGTAGGTTCCCATAACCACTGAGCCATCTTTCAAGTTCACAGTCTTAAGTATTTTTATAAGGAAATATTAGCAACTGTCACAGAGGTTAAGATGCAGTCTACCTTTGCTTTCTGGACAGCAAACAGTGTGTTGAACTATTCATCAGAAAGAGCACATATACAGAGATGAGACACTCTGTCCCTGCCTTTCCTGAGGCATTCAGATGACGGGAGGAGGGATGTGCATGTAGGGAGTTCTCATGCTCTTCCCATAGGAGAGCACCAACTTAACTGCCAGGGAAGAGGATGGATCCTCCCCCTAGGCAAACAGTCTGAAAAGTAGTAAACCTGGGTAAGTGTGAACTACAAACCATCTTGATTTATTGAGAAATATGTCTCAAGTTCTATTTCAGGTAAACCTTTACAACCTAGTTTGTGTTGATGAGCTGCTTCATGGTAGTTAAATTACTCTGAGATCTTCCCAGAACTCATGAATTCTTCAATGTATTAAGATCCAGAGTACGGTTGGGTGTAGTGATACACACTTCAATCCCAGCACTCGGGAGGCGGAGGCAGGCTATGTCTGTGAGTTTGAGGCCAGCCTGGTCTACAGAGTGAGTTCCAGGACAGCCAGAGCTACAAAGTGAGACCTTATCTGGAGGAAAAAAAACAACATCATCAACAACAACACCCCCCACCCCCACCAAAAAGAATCCCAGAGTCTGTCGTAGGTAAGAAAACTCAGTACGAAGTCATCAGCTATTGTAACTCAATAGCTTTTGATGTTTTCTCAAAGGCCTTACAAAAAGGGTGGTTTGCAAAGAACACTGCCTGTCTGCACCCTGACTGACCCTTTGGGGAGATGGCGGACAGCTTTTGCAGTCTACACCTGTCAGAAGAGCAGCGTAACAGAAAGCAGTGTGTGGATGTTAAGGGCAGATCCTTCTACACTCAGTCTGAAACACTAGCAGACTAATGGGCTGGGGTGAGGCTCAGCGGTTAAAAGAACTTAAGTTTGGATTTCCTGTGAATACCTGTAACCCTAGCGCTGAGGAGGCAGGGACGGGGGAGAGCTGGGGTTGCTGCCCAGCAGGCTAGCTAAAAAATGTGAGCTCCACGCTCACAGAGATCCTGTTCCAAAGAGAGAAGAGGAGACCTGCCTGAATGAGCGTGCGCGCGCGCACACACACACACACACACACACACACACACACACACACACACCACACACACACTTCATTTCGGGCATTCATTACCTGTATACTCTGGGGTAAAGTAACTTCTGCTGCCCTACAATGCTGGAGAAGACCTTGGGCTTCTTCCTGTGCTTTCAAATGCTCTGCCCAGGAAAAGGGTTGAGAAGAGGTGAAAAGGAGCCGGGTTTTAATACTCCAGTCCGCAGGTAACTCAGTACCTTCTGAAGAAGTTGCATCTGATTCAGAGAATGATACATGCTGACTCTTTTAGAAAACAAAGAACACAAAAATTAGAACTTCCAGAAAATTCTTTTACTACAAAGACCCTAGTTACTCACTAAATGTCAAAACTCACAAATGGCCTAATACTAAAAATATATTCCACCTGAGGAGTCTGAAGGAGGTAAAGCAAGCCACCACGAGAGGTCTGAGGCCACTGAGCCTCGGGGTCTGCCTGGAAGGAGAGGGCCCAGTGAGTGAGCTAGCTAACCGAAGAGTTCAGCGGGGCGCTGCTGCAGGGTCCCAGTTCACTTGCTGGTTTTTACAGTTCTATCTAGTACTACAGACCACAAAGGAGAAACGCTCCCAGTATTTAAAAACTATCTTGTAAGCCCCTGAATCACTGCGACCACCACCAAGCTCCTCCCTCAGGTTAAGCAACCTTGGGTAGGTTTTCCTGAAGTTAAAAAAAAGGGGAAACTACAGTCCAGGTGCTGTTCAAGTCCATATTCTCCACATCGTAAGGCTTCCCTCAAGGAACATCGCAGTCAGTATCTTGCCAGGGGACAGCCTCCGGAAGACTCTGAGAGCTAGAACGGCTCTTGTGACCTCTTGTAGCCTGTTCCCACCGGGGCAGACTGTATCTGTCCTAGCTGGGGAGCCCCAGTGCGCTCCACACGCAGGAGGGAGGCGTCGGCAGGCTATGGCCCCACAGCCCACACCTATTCCACAACGCCTGTAAGGAAATGATTCCCCACGGTTCTGCTTTCGTTTTGGAGACAGGGTCTCATGTGTTCCAGACCTCAAATATCTGTGAACTGAGCACGATCGCAAACTTCTGACAAGTCTTCCTTGTCACCCTTTCACGTGTGACGCTGGGGATCCAACCCAGAGGTCCCTGCATACTAGGCAAGCACTTTACCAACCGAGGTAGCCCCGGACTTCCAATTTGTTATTGAAACTAATTTTTCAAGCAAAATGCTACTGAGAAGTGCGTTTCTTAGAAAATACATTATAATCCTACTTAAGAACTATGACCTGGGCTAGGCCATCAAGATGGCTCAGCAGTTAGAGGCGCATGCCTCTGAGCTCGACTGACTGACTACCTGAGTTCAGCCCTGGACCCACACGGTGGAGGGACTGGCCTCCACATACACAACTGTGGCCCACACAATAATGTAGCTGGGAAAAGTACCTGGGACAGTTCGGTGACGGTTCTTTCATGAGACGCTTCCTTCCACAGCAAATGATTTTCTCCATTTGAATCTAAAAGCTGAGGTTTAAAAAAAAAGTTGTCCTTTTAAAACTTAAGCGGTGAGGGAACTTGCTTTAAATATGTCAGGCCTCACCTGGCAGAGCAGTCTCTCAGGAGAGTGGGGGCTAAATCCAGAGACCACCAACGTGTTTCCCTTCAGTGTGCTGGACCAGCACATTAAATAACTGACAAGTCCTGAGTCTTAGACCGAAGGGATCAACACTTGTCGATTCTGACCCCTCCACCCTCAACAGTCTCCGCGGCCAGCCATTCCGAGAGCCCGACTGAACGGAAGGATGGTGAGAGGGCAGATTCTGGAGCCGGCCCCGCCAGCCGCCTTGCAGGAGGGGGTGTCCGAGGACTTTTCCAGCGACCTTCCCCGGTGGTTTCCAGGGCCCCCGCCCGCCCCTACCCCAGGACCCTGCGGGGGCTGCGGCGGCTGTTCGCGCCCATTCCCACCGCTGAGCCCGGCTGCCCCGCGCCGAGACTCACCGAGTCCGGAGCCCCCTGCGGACCACGGGACGGCTCCTCGCGGGCCTCGTCGGCGGCCCGCGGCCGGTTGTCCAGGCG